AACCTGATATAGTCGTAGCAGGAGAGAGAATACAAGTTGTCTCAGAGTTTAAATACCTTGGAGTTTACATAGATAACAATCTTACATTTAAATCACACATTAAGAAGGTTTGTAATCACATTAAGTATAACCTGGCAAATTTTAGATATGTCCGTAGCTGCATGTCAAAAAGGGCTGCCATGATGTTCATGCACTCCATGATTTTATCTCATATCACCTATTGTTTGACAACCTGGTCACAAGCTAGCAACACTTCTCTCAAACCACTGTTATCCCTATATAAGAAAACTCTCAAAGTACTTGATAAGAAATCGATATATTATCATCATTGTTTTAAAAAAATATAATCTATTGAATTTCGAAAACTTGATTATATACGCAGATCTCTGTCTTGTGTATAAAATTTTGCATGGACTGGCTCCTCCTGTATTGTGCCAGTTTGTGAGCACAGCAGCACCAAATGCTCTCAGATCTACAAGGAGTGCAGCAAGAGGTGACTGCATTGTCCCGTTTAGGAAGAGTGCACTTGGTCAAACAGCTTTTTCAATAAGGGCAGCTCGTGAATGGAATCTCATTCCAATTCACATTAGGAATTTTAAATCTTACGTTTCTTTTAAACATAACTTAAAGAAATAGATAGTCAGGACTGTTTACATTACACTTGACATGAAATTTTGCTGCTGCACTGTTTCTTGTCCTGCCTTTTTATTTATTTTTTTTTGTCTTTTTTTTTTGTTGTTAATCTTTATTTTTATTAGTCTGTTGTCTGTGTCTCCTGTGCTATGCCAATATGGTTGGCTGGCTTATTGTTTTCTCTTGTGTTTAGATAGGGGAAACCTTTGACATTAGTTATTGTCCTAGATATATTGTTTTTATGTTTTTTTTGTTGTTGTTTTTTTGTTTTAGGTGTGACATCAAGATCTGTCCAGGGACAGCAGATGAAAAATAGCCTACTGGCTAATTCTGGCACACTTTACATTTAATCATGTATCATTAGTGTGCATTGTCCCTGTTAAATAAACCTGAAATAAATAAAAAATAAATAATAAAATCGGCTCATGTCAAATATAACGTTAACGTTACATTAAATGTAGTGAACGTGCCCGCGACTCAGTAGTAACCACAAACACTAACATTACACACCACATGTCCCACGGTTTCTGTAAAAATAAACCAACACACATAACGTTACAGTCAGCTCTGGCTTACGGTGTTTTCAGTGCAGTGAATGTGTCCGCTGTCCCGTGCCCACATTCACTCACAGACATGATAATCCCCACGTCTCCTTGCCACTTCTGCTGTACCGCTGGGTAGACGCCGAGTTCAGTTTTGGCTCCTTAGCGAAGACTTTGGCTCCTTCACTTCCTCCTTTTATACCCACGGGGTGGGGCGGAGTTACACTATGCAAATTCTGCAGCCCCAAGGCATTTTCATGCCATTGGCTCGTTATTAAATACTCGAAGAGGATTGGCTTTCTATGCGAAACCCCCATTCTCCGTCATTCCGATGTAACGTCTCCGTTCCCTACTCAGGGAACGAGGGTTACATCCGTAACCGAGACGTTTTCTGTGTCACTGTCGCCTGCAAAGATGACGTTGACGATGCTGATCATGATCTTCGCACGAATGAACGCCCCAGAGAGAAATGCACATTTCATACGGATTACATAAGCAAAGAGCAGTCTGTTTTCTTTCGTTTTGAAATGTTCTTTTCAGAAGTCGACATTTTAGATATACTTGTATTTCTCAGGTCTGTGAGGCAAGTAAGCTACCTTATATGCTGAGTTTTGGTTAATTTATGAGACAAGCTCAAGTTCAAGCGCCTACGCCTCTGTGTCGTGATTATATTAGCTTTATTATTAGCTTTATTTAGAATTAAAATAAAACTAAATTCACTTTAAAGAAAGTCTTTGTACTTTCTGTTTGAGGTCTCCGTGAAAGGTTTAAAGCAGTCTTTTAGTGTCGCTTTCAGAGCACAATGTCCGTAACGGATTCCCCAATTTTAAAGAATTTATCCTTTAGTTTTGTGGTGTAGGTCTACGCAGGGGGGTATAATTTAGTAATAAGGTTGGATTATTTATATGTTGAGCTGCCTGTTCATGAAGCTGAAAGTGCACGTAATAAAATAATATTGATGCAAACCAACAGGAATCATTGCCTTTTCTGCTCTATGTTTATGTTTTATGTGGGTAGGGCCCCATATTAGTTATTGAGGTTGGTCTCCAGATGCTTAAGGCCGCCACTGTGAGTACATTGCAGATATTTTTCTGCTTGCAAATTCTTGTTAAAGAATTCTTTCTCTTTTTTGTAATTCTGTCATAGTTGATAGTATTTCTTTGTTACTGAAAGAAAGTCTAAAATATATCTGACTAAGTGATCCAACTCTGCCATCTCCTCTATCAGTAGGCTATGAACACTGATTGAATGCGTTGTTCTCTATATCATTTCGACTTTTTTTTTTCTTGAAACATAACGACTTTATTCTCGAAATGAGTTTATTTCAAGATTGTATTTCGACTTTTTTTCTCGAAATTTAAACAGTTTAATTTCGCATTATAATGATTTTAATCTCGAGGTTTTAATTTTTGTATTTGTTGCTTGGCCCTAATACTCTTCTGTAAAGATGGCCTGCTGCTGTGTGTAAATTTTTTCACAGGCCAGATCCAGAGATGAAGGTTGAGCTTCTGGTGTGCTATCATAGTCATGACACCTCAAAGACAACGCTGGTATCAGCTCCTCATCCTCATTTTGCTGCTGTCCTCTGGCACACGCTTGGCCAAGAGACAGGCAGGCTGAAGTTGTTCCAGGTGAACAACACCGGAATCTCCGGGATTCAAATGGCATCTGCCCCTTCAATTAGGTCTTCAGGCATAAAATGCTGACTGCACACAGTGGTGTATCTTCTTATCACTAAATTATTATGCCTAATGTTTCTGACCCATATGGCCCTGATTGACTCATCTTTTGCGAACTGGTGGAAACTTACCCCAGAGTTAATTTTCCCTGACACAGAGAAGATCGGCACACAACAAAAACTGCTGTTCGGATGTTCATGTTTCTGATATTTCAGCATTTGAGACATTTAATTAAAACAATTACACTTAAGTTTGATCAGAAATAAGAATTTTATAACAATAAGTGAAAATTACCAGTTACCAGTTAAAGACAGATGGCGTGTTCAAGTCATCTCGTATAGATTGTATTTACGAGTTGAACGCACTTGAACGCCACCACAACGTCTTGGGACCGAGCTTGGGATTTTCTCTAAGCCCTGATCTTTCTCTAAGCCCCGAGGTGTGGGTGTGTCACTGAGAAGCATGGCGGAATACCACAACTAAAATATTATGCAGTGATATTGTCAAGGTTTTCGTATTTACAGCGCAGTTAAGCGAATTGCCGGCACAGAATATGATGGCATTATAATATAACAGTGCAACATGTAACAATAAAGTTGGCAGTGGCTTCATAAATTAATTAAAAACATAAAAAAAAAATAAAGTACATCCGATGCACATTTCTTTCTTCTTCATTTTCTAGAACAAGAGGCTAAGAACCTTACTGTATTTTTGTGTAATTAATTAAGAGAAAGTACTCCGCCATCTTCCTCCAACGAAAGTGACTTGAACGCACTGCCGTCGTAAACACGACTTCCCACCTTGTACGTACGATCTTCCCCAGGACCCGTTTACCCGTTTTCCGGTTTGACCGCTGGGCGCTCCGCATAACCCCTATACACTGATTTCACACAGCCGATATTTTGAAATGGTTCCGGTGGGAAGAAAAGCGGAAGTGTCGCCTTTAATCATAGGAGAGTCGCGAATGCAATGTCATTTGTTGTGTTTAATGTAGAAATTAGTTATTCTAATGATGTACATATATTTCTTTCATACTTTAGACTATATACAGTGAAATTCATTTATATATATAAAATTCTGAACGTAAAAAAGGAAGCAGGAGCAAAATCCTATATTGGATATTAACAATATCCAATAACAACCAATAGTGTAAATTGGTCAGGTTGGTAGTCCAATGCGTTGTATATCTGTACTTCCGGGGTTCTTCCCACCGGAGCCTCGCTTTTGATTTCAAAATGGCAGCTGTGTGAAATCAGCGTATACTTAAAACAAAACAAAACTGTCCACATTTGTGATATGTAATTTTATAATGTAGCTAATAAACAATTTTGTCAAGGAGCGAGCTGCTGTTGCCTCCACAGTGAATAGCCTCTGGAAGAACCGTGTTGTGGCTGAAGTTAATCAGCCACCCTTAATAGAAATGCTTATGAACAATGATCTCTGTTAAAGAGCCACGTCACGGTCAGTATCTATCTATGGTCAACAGGTCCATATGGCCTCAACTTTTATTCTGTATGAGATGAACGCACGTGGGAGAAATTGGTTGCAATTTCTCATGGAAACCATCACGATATTGCAAGAAAGGATGATGATGTATTGACTCATTAATTAAATTTTGTCTATTTTGCCTATTCTAATTTATAAAATAATTGTAGCCAAAACCGAACTCCTTTGATGAGTTTAGCACCTTATTACGTAAACCCCTTTTAACGTTGTTTAAAAACGTTGATAAATTATTATACCAAAAACCTTTTTTTTTCTTCTTTTTTTTTTACCTACTTTGATTTGACGAATGTTGAGCTTTATTGGACCCCTCCCAAGTCCAACCGTTCAATACATGGTTCAATACGCCTTATTCACGGCAGCGCCATCTTTGATTTTTAATGATTGAGAATGAAAGCGAGGCTGTGAGGGATAGACATGCATCTCTTCAATGGGCTGTACTGTTAATGTGTTTTCGGATTGTTCTGCTCATGAAACACTGGAAAAATATCTTTCCAAGAAATTTCAGTTGACAAAAATCTCCAGACAATGTAAGCTGTGGAAAATTGTAAGTAATCTGGAGCTGTATATTCAGCTTTTTACAATGGATGCCATTGGAAACACGGTAAGTCTATCCCTCACAGCCTCACTTAATACCTGTCATGGCGCTGCTCTGAATAAGGTCTATTCGCACCCGCAACGGTCTTCACTGACAGGGTGACTGAAGTTGCTGGGCTTCAGGTTGCTTGAGTAAACGAGTGTCAGTTGTGGTGGAACACTTGTTCCTGCAGCACATTCGGTCTCTCTGATTTGTGTGGTTTGTTTCTCGAAGCAGAAGCTGCGCATATTGAGAGACACTCGGAAAACCACACCGGAGAAGCGCTGCTTTCACACACTTCTGAGAAACAGGAATATTCTGTGTCTTAGGTAATGTGTTGTTTTTTATTCTAACACAAATATCCTGAAGTTTCGTTGATCTAGGCTACTGCTAATTTGACTCTTTACATCGAATTTTCTTATTCATTTTAGTGAAATGATATTTAAAAATGTATATTATATTTAGAAGATCCCGGGGGTAGTTGTCACACGGGGGAAGTTGTCACAAGAGCTAAATCTCAGTTTTGATTTAAAAAGCAGCATTAGCTCTGCATGTTCGTTTCAAGCATGTGGACACGAGAATATCTTTTAGTTCAGTCCTGAAATTAAAAACAACCCTGCAAAACAATGTAGGCTAGTTGTGATAGCTGTATTATTGATTGATTGATTGATTGATTGATGGATTGATAGATTGATTTTTTTAAAAGGATTTCACCATCAAATCTACATTTTGGCTACAGATAGGGTGGAGAAAGCTATGCATCTGTTTAATTTAGCAGTCTGTGTGTGCTAGAATGATTAAATGTAAAAAATAAAATACAGTAATTAAATAACACTCTATGGCTGTAACCGAGAACAGAAGACTTTATTTCTGACTGGTGAAAAAAGTTCCATTATCCGCATTATTACACTGACTGTAATGGTATTGCAGATTCACACCCCATACAAAACATAATTAACCTGTCTTGCACTAATTCTATCTCAAACCATATAGATCCATACGACATGACCTTTATTCTCATGTAGTCTATATTTATTCAAGTATCTGCTGTCCTCATTACATGATCGGATGTGATATGCTGTCCTGGTGAATATGATGAAATTTCAAAATGTCTTCAGAGATGTTAATGAACTCCAAGTGTATGAATTTTGAAAAGTACAAATATTCCATGCAACCTCTCGATTAATATGATCATACAGCCTGCATGCAAATGAATGATAGAAGATTAATAAAATTCATTTTAAAACAGTTAAGCCTGTTGCACTGCAAGATATCTCAACTTTCTAAAATAATTTAATGTCAACTTAATTTAAATATCTCATAATTCTTCCCATATCCACCATGGATGTTTGAAAGGGGGTATTTTATGAAACTGCAAAAGTTTCATTTTTGCAAAACCGAACTCGGGAAGAACAGAGAACACAATGCCAATTCATCAAAATGACTGGCATCTGCAGTTGAAACAAATGTTGCATTTACACAGATGACGTGAGCGCAACATTTGAATTTAAGCAGCGTTTGCCTGCTAAGTTTTGACATTCATCATTCTTGTTTGTCTGACTGTGAAAGTAGATTAATGTAGGAAGATTACAAAAACTCTTTTGAATGCATCACAGCAGGCACACTGTTGTGTTTTAAAATGCTGGAATGCTGGAACAAAGTGAACTAGAATCATTTTTAGGATCTCCATTTTCTATAGTCGCTTTCATACAGGTACATTAAAGCACTTTGATTCATAAATGAGCAGTTATGTAACAAAATATCCAAGACTGAGTGTGGCCTTTGAAAACCCCTTGTGTTTTCGTCCAGCAGGTGGAGACAGAAGTGTTTTGACTGAAGGATGGAGGGCTCTGGTTGGCAAGGTGGAGAAGAGCTGCCTGGAAGCCACGTGTACGAGGTGATGGTGGTCCCAAACTCCACTTCCCCTCACAGCTTTCCATTCGCAGACGTAGCCCTGCTGCAGACCTTCAAGCCGCTTATCATCCCCTGTTACGTTCTTGTGTTGCTGGTGGGTGTCTTTGGCAACTACCTTCTGATCTACGTCATCTGCCGCACGAGGAAGATGCACAACGTCACCAACTTCTTCATCGGTAACCTGGCCTTCTCAGACATGTTGATGTGTGTGACCTGCGTCCCCTTCACACTGGCCTACGCCTTCAGCGCTCATGGGTGGACATTTGGACGCTTCATGTGTTACCTGGTTTTCTTGATCCAGCCTGTCACTGTATACGTGTCTGTTTTCACCCTCACGGCCATTGCTGTCGACAGGTGAGTGCGGCCACCTGACCTTCTAATTATTTCACTAATGGCTCAGACTCTCGATATCAAAGATGAATAGGGTTAAAGTGGATCACATCACTTGAGATAAAAGGATGTCCAAAGGATGTGCACTTAATGATGGTTCTTTTGAAAAGGGTTTTGAGTCTTTGGAGATCATTAGAGGTCTCTAAAGTGAAGTCTGCAGTTTGAGAGAAGGTCACTATCCATGCTGTTTCCCCACTACTGCTTTGATGTTTGTTGACAAAATTGAATTGTTTCTTAACGCACAAAATATGTAATATTTCACCCTGTAAATCCCATACAGAAAGAAATAATTATATTTTATTGTAGAAAAATGAAGCCTATTTTAAGATCTTTGCATTGTAACATTATTTCACATTTTATTTTTATTATTTTACATTTTTATTATTTCACATTTTCTCATTACATAATTCAAAAAGTATTTTTACTCTAATCTCAAAAATAATAATAAAAAAGTAAAAAGTTGTAATATTATTATTAAGTTATAATAGTATTTCAATGTTGTAGTAGTGAATTAATTTAAGTTGATTTAAATACATAAAACTCATTCTATTACTGTGTTTTCACTGTAGTAAAAATAACTATATTGATTGTAAATGTAATACTATATATATATATATATATATATATATATATCATGATTGTTCATTATCTTCATTATTTTTATACAAAACATGTTTTTTTATTATTTAATTTAATATTGGGGTAATACCTCAATGAAAAATAATAAAAAAAACATAACTGCATATTACTGTTGTAAAAATAGCTATATTGATTTTTTTGATAATTAAAATATTTTAATATAATTTAGTATAAATAATGACAATAATGTATGCATTATTTTATTAATGAGATTAACAGGAATATAAAAAAAAACTTGTAAAATGTAAAAAGTCCGGATGAATTACTGTAATAAGAATTCGAGTTTAAAAGTGCTTAATGGTACAAAGAAAAAAAGAAATTAACATGTTCTATAAAAAGTAGGGATGCACCGATCCACATTTTTTCACTTCCGATCCGATCCCGATACCTGACTTTGGATATCGGCCGATATCGATACTTTTGTGATACCAGAGCTGTGTTTGCTTTAATATTATTTATCATTATTGTTGATTTTATATGATGCTGAAATAAACTCCTCTCTACAGGCAAGGATGATATGTACGTATGTATGTCTATATATATATATATATATTAAACAATAGGTAGACAATTAATAGTAGTAGTAGTAGTAGTAAAATCTTTATTTGTCCCTTTACAGGGCAATTTAAGTAGCTTCAACCTCACAAAACAGCAAAACATCACAGACATTACACACACACACAAAAAAAAAAAACACAAAACCCCGGGCATTTATAAATCTTCGTCTAGCTACTATTAAAATTAAAATTCATTCACGGTGCCTTTGCTTTGTTTCAAATAAGTATTTACACTCATCACTGCGTTTGAAACAAAAGACCTAGAAGCTTTAGTGGTCCTCCACTTGGGCACTCTATATCGCTTTCCTGAGGGAAGCTGAAGCATCTCAAATTCTAGAAACAAAATGTGGGATGTATCCTCTAGGATAGTTAAAGACTTCCTAAGAACACTTCTCTCACACAAAGCAGACAAACTCAACTGCACAGATCCTGTAATCTTTGACCCTAAATTATTAATGTGCTGCAGCTGGGATCTACTTTTAACATTTAATCCATAAAACCAACAGATCATAGCAAATGTTAAAACACTTTCAATAAAAGATCTATAAAACATTATCAATATGGATTTAGCTTCTTCAAAGGACTTAAGCTTTCTCAGTAAAATATAATTAAACAAAGATACACATTATACAGGCCTACACAGTGCTTTAATTTCAGGAAGGTCTACTAACATTTATGGAAGCTTGTTTCCGCCACTGAATAAAAAAATAAAATAAATAATTGCGACTTTTTATCTCACAATTCTGACTTTTTTTCTCACAATTGCGAGATAAAAAGTCCGAATTGCGTGATATAAAGTCGCAATTGCGAGTTATAAAGTCAGAATTGCGAGATATAAAGTCAGAATTGCGAGATAAAAAGTCAGAATTGCGAGATATAAAGTCAGAATTGCGAGTTATAAAGTCAGAATTGCGAGATAAAAAGTCAGAATTGCGTGATATAAAGTCGCAATTGCGAGTTATAAAGTCAGAATTGCGAGACATAAAGTCAGAATTGCGTGATATAAAGTCGCAAAGCGAGTTATAAAGTCAGAATTGCGTGATATAAAGTCGCAATTGCGAGTTATAAAGTCAGAATTGCATGATATAAAGTCAGAATTGTGAGATTTAAACTATTCTGATGGGGAAAAAAATTGGCCTAATAAGTCGCAATTGCAAGTTTATATCTCACAATTCTGAGAAAAGATGTCAGAATTTCGACATATAAACTCGCAATTATGTGTTATAAAGTCAGAATTGCGAGATGTAAACTCGCAATTGTGAGAAAAAAAGTCACACTTCTGTCTTTTTTTCTCAGAATTGCGACTTTATATCACACAATTCTGACTTTATATCTCGCAATTCTGACTTTATATCTCGCAATTCTGACTTTATAACACACAATTCTGACTTTATAACTCGCAATTGCGACTTTATATCACGCAATTCTGAGAAATAAAGTCAGAATTGTGAGATATAAACTCGCAATTGTGAGAAAAAAAGTCAGAATTGTGAGAAAAAAAGTCAGAATTGTAAGATAAAAAGTCACAATTCTTTATTATATTTTTTATTCAATGGCGGAAACAAGCTTCCATAAACATTATTCAGGTATGGTCTAAAAAGAATTATAATAAAGTAATCAAAAGTAAAATAGCACTGCAAAGTTTATCATAGATAGATTATTAAAGCTGAAGTAATTCATTCAAGAGCTGTGAGTGATTTTCTCTTTGCCTTTTGTTGTTTGATTCTCAGTAATGTCGCAATCGTCACATACTGCTGCCCCTTTAAGAACGAGTTCAGATTTCATAGTCTACTGATGCACCATATTTTCTCCCAACTACTTCCATACGTTCATTTTAGACATAAACGGTTTAAGTGTTAATCTCCAAGTCGGTCGATTTGACATTTTTGTGCAGGTTACATTTGATCATTTAGACCCCGTTTACACCTGGTATTAAAATGCGATCTGTATCCAGATAAGTTATCCGGATAATAAAAAACGCATGTTAATGCAAGGTGTAAACGCGTTGTGATCGGATCGTGATCGGATCTGCCTGACCACATCTGGAGGTAGTCTGGCTCGCATTGTGTCCGGATCTTTACTAGGTGTAAACGCAATCTGGTTGTTAAAACCACATATGTATATTTTACTCCTCCCAAAAATGCTAAAAAATAAACGAGTGAGAGCGTGTTATAGGCTATATGTCATGTTATAGCCTAGTCAGATGCGACACGCGACGCATCACCTCAGATGAGCAGAGCGTCTATTCAACGTGCAAACATCGCAAATAAAAGTGAAAGTAAGTCACAGACGCAGTTAACACATCTTCAAGTAAAGAAACGAAATTATCTTACCAGGCCTGTTGCCACTCTCTCTTATTGATGTCTCTGATTTGGAAATTAGCTGATGATCAATAAAATGCCGCTCAGATCTGTTGCTTATGGTGGCATGCAATCCAATAAATCTGCATATAACGCAGGAGGTGAAGATCGGATTTATATCCGTTTTGCAAAAACACATTTATGTGGCCAGGTGTAAATGGAATCAGTACTTATTATCCGGATAACTTATCTGGATACAGATCGCATTTTAATACCAGGTGTAAACGGGGTCTTAGACACGCATATGAAGCTCCAGAGTATAATTTGCTTGTCTTGTTGCGGTCTGTTTCGGAGCGCGTGCCGCATAGGGAACAGCATCTCTTGCGCAAATTTTGTGCTTTTAATAGCTCTTTTTATTATTAAAATCGTCCCGCAATTTAGCAACAGCAGAGACTGCATTTTACAACAATCACAGATCGTGCTGATTCTGTCTTAAGGTTTTAGTTTTAAGGAGAAATGACAGAGCACCGCCGCGATGGGAAGGAAGTTGGCTAGACAGAATGCGGCTATTGTTTTTTTACCTCAATATATTCTTTAATCTTTGGAAATCAAGTGTAACCAGGCTACGTTTCCTAAGCAGGGCTGTCGTGTTGTGCTTCCTGTGGCACCGCGTGAGAGATCTCTCTCTTTCTCTTCTGGACTGCGAATTGCAAACATGCATCACAGACAAATAGTTTCATTAATACGGCTTTGCAAACATTGCATTTTGCTGTCTTGCTCTGCTGCGGTGTTTCCAGTGTGAAATATTTTTCCACCATAGGATTTCCACACAGCGAACATGTTAGTAGCTCAATGCTATCCTGCTAGCTGGCTGCAAACTGCGGAATGGATTTCCTGAGCGGGGGTCTGTGTACTGAGCCCTATTTTTTACAATCTATGATTGAGCTGCACCCCCGTTTAGGATATCCATTCCACAGTTTGCAGCCTGCTAGAAGACTAGCAGGCCCGGCGGGAATCACTTTTGGAGTCATTTCAGCAGACAACGTTAAACCGCAGACATGACTCATAAATATCGGATTCCTCCGCAGGTTGGATCGGAAAAATCCGATACGTGAATTACGCTGGTATCGGTCCCAATACCGATACTGGATCGGATCGGCCCCATCCCTAATAAAAAGGCTTAATTTTAAACATAATGGTTTTTTTTTGTTTAGTTTTTTTTTATTTGGGGGTAATTTTAAAAAGTAAAAGTAAATATAAAATAATTAAATGTATTTTTTAATATAATATAAAATCTCTTTTGTGTTGTAACAGGTACTATGCTACAGTTCACCCTTTGAAGAAGCGGATCTCAATGGCGGCTTGCGGTTACGTGCTGTCTGGGATCTGGCTGCTGTCGTGCGTGCTAGTCGCTCCCGCTGTGGCCCACACGTATCACGTGGAGTTCAGAGAAGAGGGTCTGACCATCTGTGAGGAGTTCTGGTTGGGCCAGGAGACCCAGCGGTTGGTGTACGCCTACAGCACACTGCTACTGACCTACATCCTTCCTTTATCCGCAGTCTGTGTGTCTTATTTCTGCATCTCCGTGAAACTCCGGAACTGCGTGGCCCCCGGACACCGCACGCGGGACCAGGCCGAGGCCCAGCGGGCACGCAAGCGGAAGATCTTCAGGCTGGTGTCTCTAGTGGTGGTGGCGTTCGCCGTCTGCTGGCTGCCCATCTATGTGTTCAACGTGCTGCGCGACATCGACATCCGCCTCATCAACAAGCGTCATTTCCTGTTGATTCAGTTGTTGTGTCATCTGTGCGCCATGAGCTCGTCCTGCTGCAACCCGTTCCTGTACGCGTGGCTGCACGACCGTTTCCGCGCAGAACTGCGCAAGATGTTTACCTGCCACCGTCGCATTGGCATTCCTGCAAACCACTGCGCGACGGCAAGCGTTGTACTATGACGTCAATGTGGACTTCAGAAAAGATAAAAACTCATGAAGTGCAATTTAATAAAGGCCAACAAAATGTAAATACAGGAAAATATATGATGGATGGAAACACTAAGGCTTCTCACAGCGAAATCCTTTTTAATTTTTCACAGAAAGAAAAGTGCAGCGTTATTCAGTTAACTGTATGGGGTTTTACAGACAAAGACCCAGAACTAGATATGATGAATGAAGATAGTTTGCAGTTTCTTTAGCAGAAGTCAGCTTCAAGACTCACACTGGAGTTTGTAGGCCGCCCCGCTTACAGTTACAAAGATCACACTAGTAATACCATACTCCAAGATCTAAGCTACGTACTTGCTTCAGGTTGCAGTTTTTTTTCAGTAAACAGTAATTTGAAATGTTCCTATTTTTGTTTTAGGAGTTCCCAAAAACAGTTTAACATGCATGCAAGGATAAAAAAACACTTTATTTGTCTTATAATATGCATTTATTTTTAACTGATTTGCTCACCGACTCCCAAATGATTCGTACAACGACTCATTTTTCCAAACCACTCCTTTGCATGATGCTAATCGGCGGTGATTGGTCAGATGACAGACCCAGTCAGTTATTGTTTGTTAGCATAATGCATAAACATATTGATAAAGCACTACAGTACTACAAGACGCTCTATTCTTTATGACAACTCCAATAACAGTGAAAAAACGTTTTACATATTTAAAAAAAATTAACATTGGAGACCTAGAAGCTGCGCTGAGCGTAAATTACACACACGCGCGCGCACACTCATACTTATTGCGCCTTCCGTCCTCGCGCCCCGACGCTACAAAACCGCTCAAAACCCATAAAAGCAACAATTATTAATGTAACCCTCTTCGTCTGTGTGCTCCCCTAGATGTCTCTGCGTTGTGTTTAAATGGTGTTGAATGAGGAGGACACAAATATCGTGGTCATCACGGTAGCAGATTTATTTTGGGCTCTCTTATTCTCCATCAGCTATTACGCAGCACACTGCAAAATCTTTCCACAAGGAAAACAGAACTGTAAACAATATTATTATATAACAATATATTACAATATATTTAGTAAACAATATTAAAAAATAAAAATGCATACAAAACTATAAAATAAAATACAGAAAATACAGAAAAACAGAAATACAAAACCATCCATCACAAATAACTGCACATATATGTTAGTTACCATCTTTAACAGTTATATATTTCTTTAAATAACATGGATGGCCAATATAATTCAAGAAATTAAATAGATGTGGCAGAGAACACCAAAAAACCCTCCTTACCTTTCCACAAGGAAAATAGAACTGAATTAAAAACAGCTCCACCCATGTGAAGAAGGCCTAACTCACACAGTGAAACACTCATAGAACACAGCTCCCCCTTAAGGCTGGGAGAAACATTTTACATCATTCCTACATCAATACTTACAGGTTGTGATTCATAGGAGGAAGCTGATCCATATACACTGAGTAAGTAAGTTACTGAGCCCTCCTTCAGGAACAACCGCTTGCGAATCCACATTTGAATTCATTTATGTTTTTGAACGATTCGTAATTAAAATGATGAGAACACAATTGGGCTATACTGTTGCGGTATCGTTGCAAATATGAACTCTAACCAGCGATTCTTCACATGCTCGTCCCTGGTAAATGAAAACAAAGTGGCTGAACTATCTTTGCATTGTAGAACACAGCGTCTTCTCGACATGATGCTATGATGAAGTATTTGAATGTGTAGACTTCAAGTTTACACTTCCGTGTGTCTGCGCAGTAACTGGGCGCGGCCAATGACCTCTCTACGTCACGATGTAACAGCTAATGACTCGTTTCAAAAACAATTCATTTCATAGACTCAGAGTCGACTCTCACTTTGGAAAGACAATGGCCCTCATTTATCAATCTTGCGTAGAAACGGGTGTATATTTTGGTGTAAGATTATACTTACACTCCTCTCACCGCCTGATTTATGAAGATGTGCGTACCTTTGAAATCCAGGTGTACGCAATGCCTGCCCTTGATAAATCCCGCGGCCGAAAACGATCGTCATTAGAATAACACGCCCCTAAATATTCAAGTCTCCGCTCCCCCCACACCCTTATTTTACGCCATGGACACACGGAAGACGGCAAAGAAGAGAAACTTCTCCGACGTGGAGACGAAATGACTTATCACAATGCATTATTTTACAGCACATCTTTTGAAATTAGCATTCAATTTCGAATCACGTCACATGTATAATAGTGATGATGATGATGTGATGTGAAGTATCATTCATTCACATTAATAATTGCATGACAATTTGTAATAGTATTCTTCTTATTATTATGATTTGCATTAATGATGCTTATTGTTTTTTAGAAGAAGGATGTCGTTATTATTATTTCTATTATTATCATCATTTAAAAGAAGAAGAATGTATTTTTTATTATTTTGTCAGTCTGAATTATTTTTTGGTCATTGAAAGCCTTTCATTAGGCTACCGAACCCAGTCCGTGCGCACCTGCCGGGGATAATCCTGAAACGTCAGGGTAAAGTGGGCTCGCAACTGAAGGAATATATGCTTACAAATCAAATGCTTTGATAAAGTCACACAAATTAAACATTGAAGTCCACGTTACACAAAAATAAATACTGACGTTTATAATTTCGATGTTGTTTTTTTGTTTGTTTGTTTGTTTTACAGTGGGTCATAATATATCATATCTTTTAGTTTGTCAGTGCGTTTTGTGGTGTTAGGAATTTTTCTGCGCATTTCCTCACTAACTCAAAACGTGCTTACACCACCTCCTGAGCTGGTGTAGGATTCGAGCGTGCCGTACGCCAACGTCCATATTGATAAATCTCAAACTCACCGTGGTTTTGAGTGTACGCAAGGTGTACGCTGGAAATGTGTTGTACGCACTTTTGATAAATGAGGGCCAATAACTTTATATGCGGTGCACTTTCAGATATAAATCTTAGCAGGATGTTTTCATTCCCTTAGAGCTAGATTTCACACCATATGAACAGTCATTTTCAAAAATCCATGATTTAACACGTTAAAGACCTTTCTCAAACACAAAACAAGTCCATATTTAATTTCTGGAAGCCGGTCTAAATAAGCAAGCACTGTTCCTGCATTCAGATGTCAAATACAGACATCAAATACAATACATGAAAAGAACATTTCAGTCACACTGGTAACTTCTATTACAAAGTAAAATCTCCAGAGAGGTCATTCAACTTATTTGACATTTAGAAAGAAAAATATTGATTAATACCTTGATTATAATCACTCACTACAAATACATTGAAGCAGCAGTGCATTCCAGAATCCACCCCTTCATAGTGAACATCCCAAATGAACTGGAGAGTATTTCCACATCAAAGACGGTGTTTACTAGCCGGAACAAACTTTTCTGCAATGTTTGCTGTTCCGAACTTCTAAAACAAACTTTGTTTTAGCGTTTGTTCAAAATAATGTCACACCAGTTTGTTCTTCAATTTTGCTTGTGGTATATCAGGGTCTAGTTCAGGCAAAGAAAAAAAATTCAAATTAGCCATTGATTTACTCGCCTTCAAGTCCTAGGTGTATTGCGTATATCCATGATAAAAGTGCTCCATGTGGCTCTGTGGAGTTAATAAAGACCTGCTGAAGCGAAGTGATGCATTTGTGTAAGAAAATATCCATATTTAAAACTTAAAATAAAGTACTCTAGTTTGTGCTTATGTGTCGAACCTTTATTGAAGCTGTATGGAATTAATGAGGAGAAAATAACGAATCAAAGTACTTTCATGCTGCTTCTTCGTGTCTCACTGGAAAAATGTATGCACTGTTAACTTAATTAAAATAAGTTTATAATACTTAGGGCAATTGTTTGTGCTCTGTTGTGGTTCATTCGCACATGCGCAGTAGTTTGGTCAGGAAGTTCGGTCTGGACTCAATCCATTGAGGAGTAATTATGATCAGACAAGAAACGTTCGTGCCAATCAAATTGCCAGGGCGGGCTTTATACGATGATGGACAGATTATCAGCAAGGACGTAATCATCACGTTATCAAAGAGCGCTTAACTGGTTTCCCTGCAGAGATGACTGCAGCTGGAGAATTGAGATGTATAGATTCTGTTTCTGTCGCGTCTGTTGTAAAATAAATCGACAGCGCATTAATTTTAATAGACAACCAGAGAACTGCAATCAAGGCATTTGTTGATCGGAAAGATATTTCTGCCGTCCTTCACACATGATTCGGCAAAAGTGTAACTTAAGGTCGCTAACAAGATGGGACATAATGAAAAGCCTGTGGTCGTTGTGGTTTCTCCTTTGGTCGCACTCATGGAGGAGTAAGTAAAAGAAGCAACACTCGTTATTTAACTTCTAAAATAAGTAAAGTTAGGCTACGTTCTCTAGTTGACAACTGTATGCAAAGTAGCTGACTTACTGCGTTGCTCTGATTGGTTGTAGGTTTACCGACTATCCAATTGAGTGCAGAGTTGTTTTTTTTCCTGGTTCGGTTAAGACACGCCTCATAATCAAAGTCCTACAGAGGAGTTTCAGACTCATATTCCGACAAGAATATGAGTATGACGAAGTCAGGCTAACTTGTGCCACCACCGCGCGAGCAATTTCAACTGACTTTTTTTTGTCACTCAGTGATGGGGACCGCCATGTCATTTGCGTTTCCTGCCTAGGAGAGGATCATGCAGCACTTGCGCTCGCTGACGGGGGCTGCCCTCACTGCGAGCAATTGCCTATGGTGACTCTGAGGACTCATCTGGCTTTCTTCTCTGAGTCTGCAACACTGCCCGCTGCAGTGCTGCGCCGTAAAAAGCCCTGTAATCAGCGGGTCCCTGAGCCTCTTCAAGCTCGCGACAGCCTGCCAGCTTCGCCAGATTCTCTCGGCTCGCTGACTGATGGCCATCGGCCGCCGCCCACCACCGATTCCATCATCAATGACTACGAGACCGCTGGATCTGCAGAGGAGGCCAGCTGTTCTCTTCTGGCGTCAGATAGTGAGGACTGGGCAAGCTCCGTGGACCTCCCCCCTACGGTTCCTGAGTCAGTTGGTAAGAGAGCCAGCATCGAGTCGGAACTAATGCGTCTACTCTCACAGGCCATGGCGAGCCTCAGGCTCGAGTGGGAGGCACCCACGCAGCCTGCGCACAACCAACTGGATGGGTTTCACCCAAGCTTCACAAAGAAGTCGCAAATTCCTGGAACGCCCCCTTCTCAGCCCGAGTACGTTCCTCTGTCTCTGCTGCATTCTTGTAGTGGACGGCGCAAAAGACAGAGGCTACCTCTCACTTCCCCCCATGGGAAGCCAGAGCGACCCATCTTTGCCCGCCCTCTGCTGGATGGCGTGCTAAGTTGGCACCACCTTCAAAGGCTTGATGAACCTCCTCAGCTATGCACATGCTTACAACACTGCTGGCCAAGCTGTGTTGGCTCTGCACTCCATGGCCATACTGCAGATACTCCAGGCTGACCTTCTCCGAAAGATGGACGAGGAAGGCCTGGAAGCTATCAGCGTGCCGGATTTACGCAGCGCCATGGACCTGGCTCTTCGCGCCGCAAAATCTGCTGCACAGGCCATCGGGCGGACTATGGCTTCTCTCGTTGTCGCCAAGAGACACCTTTTGTCTGACGTTATCGGAGATGCCGGAAGCAGAGTGTTCCTTGACGTGCCCATCTCTTCGACCGGCCTCTTTGGATTGTGTTCTGAGTGTAATAAAAATTCCCACAAACAGTGCTCATTTCTACACCTAAACACCGTCACAATACAGGGCTTGTGTCCTAGTCCAAGTGATTACAGTGGCTCAATCATAAGTTTATCAAATGACAAGAAAACATTTTGTGCGCAAAAAAACAACTAAAAATAACGACTTTATTTCAACTATTCATTTACTTCTCTCTCTGCCTCGAGTCAGGTTACTAATTTAATAACGTAAGCTTCTGTTATTGTACGTCACACGCATCACACACATGACCAGCGTCGGCCAATAGTGAGCCTACGTGTGACGTTAACTGACTAGAGGCTCATTAGGGGTGTAACGATACATCGATATGGATCGATGTATCGATCAAAAGTCTAACGATACGATGCATCGATGTCACACACACAATATCGATATGAGATACTTTTATTTTGACAGTCTCTACTCTCCACGTCCTCACGTAACATCCGTTTCCGCATTTCCGCCTTTCCGCCAAAGCACGCGTTTGGTTTTTCTCACCTGCCTGTCAATTGTGTGTCGGATTGCGAATGAGATGGAGCAACAAAGCGGCGGTAGCAGCGAAAAGACAGGCGCTGAACATTTTGAGGCTGTTGTCGGGCGCAAATCGTGGGTTTGGAAACATTTAGTATTTTCCAAAAAAGATGGTCAGGTAAATAAAACCCATGTTATGTGTACACATTGCCAGTACAAGCTAAAATATTCGGGAAACACCACAAACTTGTCAGTGCATCTGAAAAGAAAACACGGAATCGAGGAGAGTAACGTTAATTTGGCTGAAGAAAAACAGCCTCTCTCACTCCCCATGAAGAACTTCTTTGCCCCGACATTAGCCCACAACTCCAAAAGAGCAACTAGCATTACGTCCGTGATCGCTTTTTTTTATATGCAAGGATATGAGGCCCTACAGTGTAGTTGAAAATGAAGGCTTTCGTCACCTACTACATACTCTGGAGCCGAAATATAGCATTCCATCAAGACAGCACTTCAGTGAAAGTTGCATTCCGAAGCTGTACAGACAAGTGAAAGAGAAAATACAGCATACACTAACTGATGCAGAACGAGTCGCAATCACTACAGATGGATGGACATCCTGTACAACCGAAGGTTATGTAACTTTGACCTGTCATTATATTGACACTGACTGGCAAATGAAGAATTATGTTCTGCAGACACGTGTTTTGAATGACTCGCACACCGGGGTAAATCTTGGTAAAGTCTTGAGAGAAGCTTGTGAAGAGTGGAACATACTTGACAAAAATCCTGCACTGGTCACCGATAATGCCAGTAATATGGCAATAGCTGGAGCAGAGGCAAATCTGTCACCTCACATTAAATGCTTTGCGCATACCATTAACTTGGCAACACAGAAAGGCCTGAAATGTGCTGGTGCAACATGTCTTTTGGGAAGAGTGAGACGAATCGTGTCATTTTTTCACCGCAGCACGATTGGTACCACAGTTTTAAAAGAGAAGCAGAGGTTGCTCGGAATTCCAGAACACAAGCTTAAACAAGATGTGATCACTCGCTGGAACAGCTCCTTTGATATGCTGGAATGTTTTTTGGAGCAACAAGCTGCAGTTTGTGCTTCACTGCTGGACAAAAAACTAAGGAAACTCTCAAATGACCTGCAGCATACCCTCAAAGAAATTAACATCACTGTTGCTGAAGATATGGTTAAGCTACTCTCACCAGTGAAAACTGCCACCACCATAATGTGTGAGGAAGAGCAGCCAACTGTATCTGTTATTGCCCCTCTTCAAGCTAAATTGTTGAAACATTTCACTGTCACAGCTGAAGACTCCAGTGTGATTACAGAGATGAAGCAGATAATGGCAAAGGATCTAGAACATCGATATATGGATGTGAGACAAGTTCTTTATAGAGCATCTGCGTTAGATCCCAGATTCAAAAATCTGCCTTTTTTAAGTGAAGAGGAAAGAGATGCAACCTTCCAGTTTCTCATCCATGAGGCTTCAGAATTGATGATCCAGAAAGTAAGAATTAATTTTTTAGTTTCAGCAATATTTTATAAATTTTATATATTTTATAAATTCATTAATATGCACAACCTCTTCATTTGGTATGTGTGTGTCTGTGTTATAATCTACAGAATGACACAGTGTCACAGGTTGAAAATGCAACGGCTCACTCATCTGCTGACAAAACTTCTGATGATGATGATGGCGACCCTGAAATGATGCCAGTGTTCCAGGCTGAAACCACTGAAGAAGGTGTGTACAGTATGTACACACACTGTACTTAAACATTTGTCTATTCTTTGCTGTTAACAGTCTGAAAATGTGTTTTTATTTATCAATTAACAGCTGTAAGAGGCATCTGACATAACTAAGCCATGCATTATTTTGTTGTAATTTTAGAACATGTTCCTCCTTTCAAGAAGTCAAAACCCTTTGAAGATCTGTTTGGTGACACATTCTGCACTGCTGACCCTAGCCAGACTGTCAAGACCCCTAAAGAGCTGGCCCATGCTGAAGTTGTTAAGTACAGAGACACTGCATCTTTGAACTTGGGGGGTATGGTGTTGGAATGGTGGAAAAGTCATCAAACTGAGTTTCCCCTCCTGGCAAACCTTGCCAAAACATACATGTGCATTCCTGGTACCAGTGTACCGTCTGAGCGCGTGTTTAGCACGGCAGGTGACATTGTCAATTCAGAACGCAGTGTCCTCTCTCCTGAACGTTGATCAGTTGATTTTTTTAAAGAAAAACCTCTCAAAAGAGACCACTGCACTGTAGCACTTGTTTGATTCATAGATCTTATGTTGTGTGAAAGATCAAATGTCAGATAAGTTTAAGTTTTATTTTTGTATTTTTTTATATCAGTTTGTTTTATTTCATTTATTTATTTAACTAGAGAACCTCAGTTATTTTCACTATTTGCACCTCAGTTACTATTGCACATGTTGGCACAAAGGACTGGAAGGCTTTATTGACTTTATTGACCATTATAAGCTTGATTGATTTTATCAATCTCCCCCCCATTATTTATTTTTATTTCTGTTGTGTTGTAAATGTCCCAATTGGGAAAGAGGGTGCAATTTTCAAAGTGTTTAATTAAACATTCATGTTATATATCTTTTGGTTGCATTTGTGAGTTAATAGAAATGGAACTGGTTGTGTAAAGTGGCGCATAATATCTAAATATCGATTAATTGATCGATATAGCAATGAATCGAATCGAATCGTATCGAAACATTTTTTGAAGGATCGGCAAATATCGTATCGCTGGCTGAAAGAATCGATATCGAATGGTATCGTGATGATCTGTCCGATTTACACCCCTAAGGCTCATAGAGAAGGAAGCTGCCCGGAAGTGCTTTCCTTTCTTCAAGAGCTACTGGATAAGGGGAGGTCCCCATCCACGCTCAAAGTCTATGTGCCGGCCATGGCAGCATTTACAGAACCTGCGTCTGGCCTGTAACTAGCGAAAAATTATCTGGTCATTCGTTTCCTAAAAGGAGCTAAGAGGATGAATCCTCCCAGACCCCCCTCTATCCCCATGTGGGACCATTCTATGGTGCTAGAAGCCCTGAAAGGAGCCCCATTTGAGCCGATCCAGATGTCATCGGATATGAAACACAGTGTTTCTCATGGCTCTTGCGTCAGTAAAAAGTATAGGGGATCTACAAGCGCTCTCAATGAGCACAACCTGTCTGGAATTTGGACCTAATGACTCAAATCTTACTCAAACCAAGACACGACTATGTGCCTAAATCCTTCAACACACAGTTCAGGGCCTAGGTTATCTCCCTGTCTGCCCACCGGTTCATAATGAGGAGGAAAGCATAGGCCTCCTTTGCCCAGTCAGGGCGTTAAAGACCTACGTATCTTGCTCGTCTGCTTTCAGACAGACTAAGTAGCTTTTCGTTTCATTCAGCGGTCACGTTAAGGGCCTAGCCTCTTCGAAACTGACCCTATCCAGATGGATAGTTGATATCATAGCACTGGCATACACTACAAAGGGACTTGAGTGCCCTTTAGGTGTTGGCCTCATCGTGGGCATGGTCTAGCGGGATTTCTTTACAAGATATCTGTATGGTGGCAGATATCCTCCCCATCTACATTTATAAGGTTTTATAAAATAGAAGTTCCCGCCTTACAAGACAAATTGCTGTCAGTTAAAGAGTCAAGTACCACCTGCCCCGTCGCCTCGGCGTAAAGTACTGCACTCGCTTGAGCACTGCTCAACGTGCTATGAGTTTTTTTCCGAGGGAAAATAAAGCCCATACTGTCACTCAGTACAGGAAGACTGTGTGTGACACTGTTATAATGAATAGCCTTTCTTGTGGCTAAATCATTTGAGAATGATGCTGCTAGTCTCTATTCTCGGACTCTCTGTGAGTTCATGGTGATTATGCACTATATGCGCCCCGGGCATTTGCACCTTGGGATTTTGCTGTTGGATTTCTACATGCACGGCGTTTTGCATGGCATTGTCCCCCTAGCGCAAGATATTACGCAGTACGAGAGAACCTTGAATCTCGTTTACTAACGTAACCTCGCTTCTCTCTAGAAGAGGGAACGAGTACTGCGTATCTTGCCGTGTCTGCTACACGCTCTGGTTTGCTTTGCGATGAAAAACCAGTGATATGAGCCCATCGAGCTATATTTATAGGGCTAGGCCATGCCCGCTTTGGCAGGAGCGTGACGCAATGGGCGCAAAGCGCCCCCATTGGACCGTCACCAAAGGGCCGCTCTCATGCTAAGCCGCCTTGCCTATGTCTGAATGCTGCCACAACGTGTTTTGCAATGATTCAAAATTAAGGATAATTTTTTGGCTTCAATATCTCGAGGAAAAGAGGTTTTCCCCTAGCGAACGATATTACGCAGTACTCATTCCCTCTTCTAGAGAAAACATCTCGGTTACGTATGTAACCCTCGTTCCCTGAGTAGGGAACGGAGACGTTACATCGGATGACTGAAAATGGGGGTTTCGCCTAGAAAGCCAATCCTCTTTGAGTATTAAAAAACGAGCCAATGGCAAAGAAATGCCATGGGTCTGCGGAATTTGCATAGCGTATCTCCGCCTCACCTCGTGAGTATAAAAGGAGGAAGCCCCGTGGGGCTCCATATGGAGGATACTGGAGTGACCAACCCATAGGGTGGCTAGAATCTTAACTCCAGGTGTGGCATGGTGGCTTGCTGAGGGAAGAAACTTGCTCAGAGATGCTTACAGTGGAGAATATACATGTGGAGGTTACTAGCAGGAACCATGCACACGGAGGCACCTAGCCGACGCCCAGGCAACAGACACTGGCGCCAGCATCAACAGTGCTGGAGGACTCAGGGCTTCAACGGAAGGCTCAGCTGAGAAGAATTCGCACCTATCCAGTCCGTGGAGTGGCGAGCAAGCGAAGACACCTGAGCGGGTCCAGTACTGGCCGGTTGAGCGAGTACAAGAGAGGACACAGGCTCCACCCGGAGGTTATAGAATCTCGCGAATGTGTAGGTGTCGCCCAGCCTGCAGCTCTGCCGATGTCTGCTAGCGAGGCGTCTTGCGCTAGAGCCCAAGAGGAAGCCACACTCCGGGTGGAGTGGGCTGTCACACCAAGGGGGCACGGTCGACCTTGCTGCTGGTAAGCCAAAGCGATGGTGTCCACTATCCAGTGAGACAGCCACTGCTTTGAAAGAGCCCTTCCCTTCTGGCTCCCACAATAACAGACAAAGAGCTGGTGTGAGGTCCTGAAACAATGCGTTCTGTCTACGTAAGCACGGAGGGCACGTACTGGACAGAGCAGTGCCAGAGATGGGATGCAGCTCTTTGAAGAAAAGATTTTCCCCCAGCCCTCCACCGGGGGAAGGAGTGGGCCTGCAACCACTCCCTGAAGAACTGCAAGCCACATCTGAGCTGCCCGTAACGGGAGCTACGCAGCAGGGCTGCGGGGCTGGTACGGGCAGGGGCGCCTCCCTGCGACCACCTCCACGGCACGGCCCGGTGCTGCTGGGGCCGGACGAGAGGAGGCGGAAGTCGCAGGAGGGCGCATTCGGCGGCTAGCGAACTGAGGCATTTGAGCCGGCGGCTAGTTGCAGCAGAAATCACAGGGTCAGACAAAGCCACAGTCCGCTTGGGCGGCCGAGAGCTGTTGGGCAGAGCTCTCGACCGCGCCACCGAAGAGGCCAGCCTGAGATATGGGAAAGTTGAGGAAACTGGTACACTCAGCCTTGCGCAGATCAACCAGGTTAAGCCAGAAATGTCTGACCACACATGTGGACATCACCTGACTCAGGGAGCATGCGGTCACCTTCGACGCTCGTAGAGCAAAGTCGGTGACGGCAGGCAACTCAAGGATTAGCCCTGAATCAGCCCTACCCTCGTGCATGTCACTGCTCACCCCAAAGGATGGCAATAACACACAGTGAGGTGACAGCCTGCCCTGCAGCTCTATAGGTCCCCGCCACCGGAGTAGACAAGAACCTACGGCATTGGGGGGGGGGGGGGTGCTTAGGGTTACCACGGCCAGTGGAGGCGCTGTGGGGACACATAAGTGTTGCCACAGAACACTCCACTGGGGGGAACCCCAGTGTACCCTAGACTGCGGCCTCTACGAGGACAGAGAAGGCAGAAGAGGCCGCTGAGTGATCGTGAAAAATCAAAGGGGACTTCCACGATCTCACGGCCTCTTCATGCACATCCGGGAAGAAAGGATTTGGGTTCGTCACCCCCAAAAACCAATCATCAGCCTTAAGTGCTCGGGACATGGCAGAATTTTCCACACAAACCCGATACTCGTGGCAGCCCGGGAAAGCATAGCTGTGAACCCTGAATCAAACTCGCTTTGCTAGCACATCCGGGGACAGCAGCACAGACGAGCCATCTCCAGAGGACTCCAGCTCACCTTGTGATGCAGCGATAAACATGATTTCATCAGCTGGGGGACCAAATGAGAACGTGGGCCCTTGTGGGTTGCACCGTGAAAGACGGGGTGTGGACCAAGGAATTTTCATCGGTTTAGTTCCAGACCTGACGTCTTTTGGTCACCCTGGCCACCAGCCGAAGTATTATCGCACGTGGAGAAAAATAGTTCGGGTTGTGGATGAGGGGACTCTCACTCTATTGAGCTCTTTTAGTCTCAACCGTTATACATTGCGATGATCACGTCCCCACTGAGAGAACGTGACACACCCACGTGTCTGACGTGTCGGAGCGTGATCAAAGCCCAAACACGTCAAACAGCACTCGCGCCCATCAGCTTACTCTATCAAAATACCGCACTCAGGAATACACGGGCAGATTGTCTTTAAAAAGACGCGTCTTTAAAAAGACGTGCCGCGTGCACACTCTTTCAGTGAGAGGAGAAAACTCCGCGGATGTTGAAGCGACCAGGGAGAGACACACACACTGGCAGACCACTGCTCAGATCGCAGGCAATGTGAAACTCGCTGGGTACCGCCGTCACACCAACACCAGAGAGTTTGCTCGTCTCGAAGAGGTGAGTCACAGTAGTAAACTCAGATTGTGTGGCTTGTGGAGTGAAGAAGTTCTCTTGGCTCCGAAGCGAAAACATACTGCGGTTGCGTCCGCTTCCTCCTTTTATACTCACGGAGTGAGGCGGAGATACGCTATGCAAATTCCGCAGACCCATGGCATTTCTTTGCCATTGGCTCGTTTTTTAATACTCGAAGAGGATTGGCTTTCTAGGCGAAACCCCCATTCTCCGTCATCCGACGTAACTCAGAGTGACTACAAAAGGGAACCGAGGTTACGTTAGTAACCGAGGACGTTATAAGTTTTAAAATATACAGGCATCAATATATCATCCTGTAATACCTGAAACAATGTGGCTGTATCTTTTACAGTATGTGTGAATTTTTGGCAACCACCACAGCTGTTAGATGAGTTCAAAAAACATGTAATTTTTACAGTCACCATGAAATCAAAATTTATAAATCTTATTTTTATGGAATAATGCCTTATTTATTATAAATGGTTTATCCATGCACATCTTTTATTTATTTATGTTAAATAAACTTTTTGTCTCTCAAGACTGTTCAAAAGACTGCATCTGTGGACACAATTTATTTGAATCAACTCGATCTGGTCTCAAATATCCTAATTTGGTGAGTGAAACTTTTCAG